GGATGAAATAATGGATTTGACCACATTTGGCTCTTGGTGAAATGCGAGACAAATCTGATGTTACATTTGTCCTGGTCGCAAAGACGTCAAATGTGTGACAAATACGTTATCATGTTTGTCCCTGATAAATGCAAGACAAATAATGTTTGAATATGAAGCCATTTTTCATTCAAGGACAAATATTAGCCAAAATAGACAAATGTGTTGAACATCATACGAACCCTATTTCAACCCACAGCAACGTTTTTTCACTCGCGTCCCCAAGGCTGTAGCTAGACTTCAGGACAAGACGAGGCAATTTTCGAGCGCCGAAGGCGCGAGCCGCTAGGGGGGGCTGGGGGCATGCCCCCCAGAAAATTTTGAAATCTAGAGGTTCAGAAATGCTCTTTTAAGGATTTTTCGTGGCATTTTTCTTCAGAAAAGTCAATCTTCAAGAAAACAAATTTAAAAAAAGGCCAATTACCAAGGCACTTTCCGAGGCAATTACCTCGTCTTGCCTCATGCTAGCTACGGCCCTGGTCCCCCCTCGTATGATCTATTCAGTTTCCCTACTTTGTGGCTAGGGAGATCACTCAGATTTGGGCATTTTTTGTCTGGATCAAAAGTATGATTTTGGTAGAGGCTCGCACAAGGAATTGTGTAACTTGATTAGTGTAAGCCATACGGTTGCCTGAACTAACTGTCAACTTCTGCGGTACTGTTAGTTTTCTTTTAGTAAAAACCCAAGCCAATGTTCCACATTAGACTGTAGAAAAGAAGAGAAATGTCATTGTGTTAAAAGTAAATCAGTAAATAAAGATAGAACAAGGGATAGGGACAGGGCTAAATCTGCAAAACTATCGTGGGATTCCAAGAAGTTTACTTCAGAATCTCTCTGGACGTCGCTAGCACTATTGTCACTTTCAGAGGCAATTTCCTTTCTCTCTGCAATTTGTTTGAGATGTCTCTATCACGTGCCTTGACTGACAAAGTCATCAGAGTGACTGCAGTAATACCTCTTCCCCATTTTCAGTGGATAGAGCGCTGGACTGTTGTGTGGGAGGTCGAGAGTTCAAGCCCCGGCCGGACCA